AAATGCGAGATTTTCATTTTTTCCTAGAGATTTGATAAAATATTTTTTGATTTTCCATTTATTGAATGATGAGTGTTAGTACAAAAAAGTGTGTATATTATTACCATTTCTGCTATTCAAGAATATAATAACATGTCTGAACATTTTAGAATACAAAAGAGCAACACAGAAATCTACCTGAAACTGATGCCAAAAACTTGGGTTAGCATATAACTATAGTTATGGCATTTGATAAAGTAGAAAATATTATACAACTTTAAAATGTCCTATTGATTTTTTTTTTTTTTTTTTTTTTTTTTTTTTGCGGAACCGGGGATTGAACTCAGGCCCTTGTGCTTGCCAGGGAAGCGCTTATTGCACTGAGCCATCTCCCCGGCCCGTCCTATTGATTTTATGTGTTTCTTTTATTTAGGTTAGTCAAATCCTGATTTAAAAATGGGTAATAGTCCCAAACTATCAATTAAAAACTGACTTTCTGTTTACTTTTTCATTTTCACTGCTTCTAAACTTTATGCTATACAGGGCCGGGGAGATAGCTCAGTGATCTAAAGTGCGCAGGAACTGTAGTTCGATCCCTGTCACAACATGCCACGCCAGCCCTGCCCCCAGGATAGGCCAAGCCAGACACACATGCACACACATACACACACACCTCTTATTGCTGTTTGCTTACTCTAGTATATTTTAATATGACCAGAAAACAATCAGCAAAATATAGATAAGGCTAAATTGGTGAGGGGAATTTGGTCCTGCTTCATAGTCACTGATACAGAAAATAATAAGAACGGTGCAGTTAAATTCTGTTAAGGGCTGGCCAAATAGCTCAGCAGATTAAAGTGCCTACAAGTAGGCACAGGGGCCAGGGGTTCGATCCCCAGGCCTGCTGTGCTGGCCCCACCCCCAGGGCACCGCTGAGAAGGCAATTGATACTGGGTGTGGTGGCGCACGCCTGTAATCCCAGCTCTTGGGAGGCTGTAAACAGGTGGATCACTAGGAGTTCGATCTAGTAGTGAGACCTTGAATATCTTGTAGACCCTTCCCTAAAAATACAAAAAATAATAATAAATTCTGTTAACATGTTGAGCATGCTTATTAGCCATAATGGTATTAAAAAGTCATGTAAAAGTAATTTAAATTTTGTGTCACTATTTGTTGTTTTTTGTGGTATTGGAGATTGAACTCAGGTCTTCATATATGCTAAGCAGGCACTCTAAAACTGACCTATGCCTACGTATTATGTATACTCCCAGCCTTATAATTTAAATTTTTTTTTAAATATATTCCACTGTTTATTTATTTATTACATTCATTTAGTGTGTGTGTGGCCAGCTCAGCCCACCAGGGGGCAGGGCTGGCTGGCATGTGGTGCTGGGGGATCGAACCGCGGTCCCTGTGCTTTGCCAAGCCCGTTCCAAGTAGGTGCTCTAGACCACTGAGCCATCTCTCCAGCCCAATTTAAATTTTTAATTATACTTTTTAGTAACTACAAAATAATTTTTCTTTTTACCAGATGATTAAGAAAACCATTAATAATGTCAGAAGAATGACTTCTCATCCAACTCTTCCTTACTGTAAGTTGAAAGTAATTATTGGTAGATCTTACTTTTTCCTTTCAATTTTGGTATTTTTTATTTTAAGAAACTTCTGGGAAACATTCAGTTTCAATTGAAGGATAACATTTATTCTACTTTGTCTTTTAAGGAAAATGTTCGCTAGTAAAAAATATTTCAAAATTGTGTAAAAATAGAAAAATATTTCCTTTCCTAGGGCAAACTAATACTGCAGTAAACTTTTGACATTTTGCCGACATATTTCTATATATTTAATATGTTTTATTTTGAACATTTGTTAAGTTCCTTCGACCAATGATGACAAATCTTTTACAGCTTTCATTGATACTAACAGCCTGCTAGGACATATGTGATTTGGCATCACTGTCTTAGTGCTAAATTGTAGGTGATAATTATTGTTTTAATAATAGGATCTTGGCATCTTTTATTACATAGACCAGAGCCCTGACTCAGTCATTTATTGTTTAATTACAGTCATTTTATATATTTAATTAATTTTTGTAAGTTTATCTTCATATCAGATATGTTAATAGAAAGGACAGAAAATGGTGATCAGTAAATTTTTATATTACCTATAGGATAATTTTTTCAGTTATTCTTCCTTCTTTACTCATAACTTAGATAAAAGGAAATTTATAGGAGATACTAATTAAGTGGTAGGTTTGGAAAATATTCACTCATTAGTAGGTGAATATTTCAGGTTTTTAAAATTAGTTTTAAACTGGGCGTGGAGACGCGCACCTTAATCCCAGCTCATGGGAGGCTATAAACAGGCAGATCACTATGAGGTATTTGTATTCCTTCAACTTAATAACCTATAAAAATTTTTATCACTTTTCTCATTGGAAAAACTAATAAAATACAATTGACAAAAATCAGTGTTCTGTTCAATCACTATAAGGGCTATAAGCATCTTTTATCAAAATTGTATACTTTGAACACAAAAATGCTCTAGAAACTATTTTAAATGATGAGTGATCTTTTACTGCATATATAAAAGACTAGCCCGTTTTTCATACATTGCATTTATTCAATATTAGAAGTATATATTTTTATGAGTAAGTTTAATTGATTTTTTAAAAAGCCTATCCAGTAAAGCTTCCAAATGGATTTTATATATAAAGTTTAAATAATATTTCCACAGCAAGAAATATTTTCAGTTGCTTTACACTGTTGTAAACAATAGGTTGTGTAATTTTCTCAAAATATTGAAGGGACTGACTATCTTAGCAGTGAATATTATCTACCAAAACTCATAAATTTAAATAAAGAAAACAACAGCTTTAAAGGCTACTATTTTTGGACTTATTTTCAGAGATATTAGGTAACACTACATTACCACCTCCTTACTGTGTTTTTTTCTGTATTCAGAGAACTATAACTGGCAGATAAGAGATTTGAAAAGTTAAATACTAATCACTTGGATTTGTTGTTTGAGTAGATCTTTTCTTGTCACGAGTCACTTAGGTAGTAATTTAGTTTAACCAGTATACTTTATGTAATTAAAATGTTACAAGATAGGATTTTTTAAACATTGTATTCTGAAGTTCAGATACTTCAAAATAAGTTTTTCCCTTAGAATACATCTTTTTAACAATCTTGAGTCACAATAAGCGACTTTAGTTTCTATGCTACAGATCAAACCCTTGTGTAAGCTAGACAAGTGTCCCACCACTCAACTACATTTCCAGCCCTGAACAACTTGACTACTAAAGAACTTTTTAGAGTTTGGACTATGCATTTTTAATTTCCTGGATGGAAAAACATTCTGTTTCTCTGCATTTTTAAAAACACTTCTTATACCAAATATGTGATTTTTTTTTTTTCACCTTAAGCAGTTATCCATTTCTAAATATCAGTTACAATTCAGTTCAATTAATGACACTCTTGACCTGGAGTAAGAGTCAAATCCTATGGGTTAAGGATTCAGTACTAGAAGACTGCTGTCTGCTTCAAATGCCAGTTACAACTATTGTGTTTTTACCTGTGCTTTTGGCTGACTGTAAATCAAGATTATCGTGATCTATTCTGAAGGTTTGATTTGTGAGAAACACTTTTCTTGCATTTACTATTACATTACAAAAGGATATTATTATAAAGTATGCACATGAGGAGATAATAGAGTGAATTTCATTTGAATCCTTCTGCTTTAAAGTTGGGAGTTTTCTGTCTTACGAACAGGTTGATGCTTGTTCAGAAATTTTTGTAGAGCTTATCTCCATGTAAAAACCACAGTCTATCACACTACAGCCATCTCCATTTTTACTAAGGATAATAAAGACAAATTTGCTTGAAGCATAGTCTAGTATCATTGAACCTTGCCTGATTATATGCATAAATGCAGCAAGAATAGTAATTCATCATACAGGCTTTTTGTAAGTCTGCTTTGTTAGCAGATTAAAATACAATTTCAAATTAGAGTTTTAAGAACTTCTAGAGACTAAAAAAGCAAATCAAAGAACTTATCACCAGATTTTGCCTGAAATCCTGTACATTTGAATGAGTTCATGTCTTAAGATCCACAGATATTATGGAGTTATTTCCTACCTGAAAGTGAGCGTCCTTCCTCATCTACAAAACCACCTTATAAGGGAGTTATCTAGTCACATCTAATTTCCTACATTCTCAAATATGATGTTCTTGGGGGGCCTGGCCCTAGCTCAGTTCTTTAAGTGGC